ATATTATAGCAAGGTCAAGAAAGAAAATACTTCTAGTTCTATGTAAAGTAGGCTATTATTAACAAAGCCAAAATAGATATAAAACACTAAAAAGCAGACATACTTGTAATTGTTTAAAGAGAAGTCAAGCTTTTCTTCTTAGTAAACTCTTTTTTCTATTTAGTATTCAAACTAGAAGGTTTATTAAGAATAATTATAAAAAAACTCAAGCCAGAACTATTAGAAACTTGAAACAACTACTATACAACTGTAAAACTTACTTGAAGAACTATATATAAAAATTGTTACCTTCCATTTTTCTTCAAAAAAATTTTATAAAAGTGGATAATTTAGTTTATCTCTTCTAAAAGATCAATATAAAAAATTATTAAAACAGTTATTAATATTTATTTTCTAAACAAGATTGGTATAAGCATAGATTAGAAACAATATAGCAACACAAATATGACTTATAAACATGCCTCAAATTACTAAAACTCTGTAAAACACTGCTTTTAAACTAACTAGTAATTTATGCTAACTCTTTACATTCAAGTTAAGATTTTATTTTATATAGTTTTTGTTAAATATTTTAAATAAATAGAAAATAGTAGAGTTAGTTTTATTTAATATAGTTTAAATTTTTAAAAGCCTAATACAGACTTATAATTGTAACCATCTGATAGTTATGTAGTAAGAGTTACATATATTATTTTTTTTTACTTTTCTTTTTTTTTCTTTTATTTCTTGCATTGTATCTTTTATTATTTATTCTTATACTTTTGTGTTTTTTTATATAAGTTTTTTTTGATTTTGTTTATTTCACTATAAAAGATGTTATTAAATTAGCAATATTTTATTGTAGAGTGGTAGTCAGATGTGACTTCTGGCATATTCTAATTTCATATAAAGTTAGACAGTCAGTGTAAACAGATTATTTATAGAGCTTATAGAAGTATTTGTAAGATATTATATCAAAAAATTTATGCAAACTTTTGTACATATATATGCAAAAATTATAATAAAGATGAATCAGCAAAACTACTCAAGTAAAGGAAAAAAAATTACAAAAAGAATAATAAAAATTTTAGTTTTGAAGAAGCATAATCAAAGTTTAATTTATATATAAAATATGTAAATAGTTATAAAGTTATCAACTTGAACTAGTAATATGTTCTAAAGCAGATAACAGCTTAATGATTATGCAAAAAAAATTAAATATTAGATTAGACAGCATTAGACATATAGAAATTAGTATGCTATCTGTTAAATATAATAAAAAATTATAGTATTTAATTAGATAATTTTTTAACAGATTACAGATATGACAACTAGTATAAAATCTATAGATAAATTATTTAAATAGATAACCAAAAAGTTATATATATTGTTATAGAATAAATTTCTATTATTGTATTATTATTAGTCATAGTTGCTTTAATGCTTTAAAATATTTTAATGTCTTAAGCTTGTAATACTATTACTTAATCATTTGGTTACTTAATTACTTAATCACTTAGTCACTTAGTCATTTAGCTGCTTAGTCATTTAGTTGCTTAGTAATTAGTTACTTAGTAATCATTAGTCACTAGTTGCCAGAACCTTCTAGTTGCTTAGTAATCACTTAGTTACTTAGTTATTTAATGCTTAGTTATTTAGTTACTTAGTTACTTAGTTATTTAGTCACTTAGCTGCTTAATTGCTTAGCTTACAGATATATAAACCTCTAAAATTCTTTCAAGTTAGAAAGTTTTAGAGTTAGCTTTTTACAGTTAACAGTTTAGAAACAAACAATTCTTATTTTCTTTATTCTATAAATTATACTTTGAATTCTTTAGAACAGATGCCTAAGAATAACCTTCTTGTTATTATCTTAATAAATGATTTTAACTATAAATTACTATATAATAATTATCAAACTGCCTTAGAGATAGATATAGTTTCTTGACAATGTCTAACAAGAATTATACTTCCCTCTTGGATATTGCATATACCTATAAGAGATTCTCTATGCTATATCATTGTTGTAATATAAAATTAAGAAGGCTTTTACTCTATAACAATATAACTAGTTATATATTTATCTTATATAAATTATATATATATAATTAAAAATACAATAAAGACAGTAGCTATCAATAACATAAATTTTAGTAAAAGCAAAAGAAAAAGAATTATAATTCTATAATTCTAATTGTATTAAGACTAACTTTAATGTATAATATTATATAAATAAATCTAAAATATATATACTATAATAAAAATTTTACTTAGAAATTTTAAGTAAAAAGATAATATAATTTTAAAATATTATATTCATAACACCTATTTTATATAACACTTATATAATTTTAATTAGAATTAGAGTTCAGCTTTAAGATAAATAAATATTTTTTTATTATATTATATATATTAGATATAAGATCTTAATAAGTTCTAATTTTAGTTTTTATAAGATATTTAAGAATCCTAAATATTTTTATTTTGAATATTTAATTCTATTTACTTAGTACATTTTTGAGATCTTATATAAGATGATATATAATATAGTGTTATAAATATAATTTTTTATAATTTTTAATAATATTATCTATTAAAATATTAATCTAAAATAAATAACTTATATAAACAAAAAGCTCTAAATAAAGGTACTACTAATCTAACTACTAGTTAATTTGAATATAAAATTATATTATATATAACTGATTAGATTAGAAGTATAAAAAAATTTATAAAAATAAACAAAGTACTAATAAGATTTTTAAAAAAAACATTAGAATTGTATAAATTTTATAAGAATTAAAAATTAAATCAGCTATAGAAATAGGTTACAAAAAGCTTAAGTAATAATATTTTAAAAATATGCATTTGCTATTCTAAAAATATAAATTAGTATTTGTAAACTTTTAACTAATATATATATTAAAAGATGTTACAATAATACAGAATAGGACTATGTTATAAAGAATTTAAATAAACAATACTTATAGTTAGATTGTGAATATAAAATTTAGTATAAAATTTATAAAGTAGACAAACTACTTAAATTAGATATTAAAAATATATATATAACTAGTTATATTCTTTAATATAAGATTTTTTAAAAATTTTGTATTCTAATATTTAATAAAAAATTTTTAACTTCAAAGTAGTTAAGTTTAAAAAAAAAACTTAGTTTTCTATAAACCTTTTTTTATTTTTTTTGTCTATTTTTTTGTTTTTTTTTTCTTTTATACAAAAAAACATTATTAGATTAATAATAGCTTATTGTAATATAAAGTTTAGATATGATTAAAAACTACTAGTTTTAACTTTGAAATTAAAGTTTAAAATTCAAAATTAAGTAAATAATTTGTTATAGTAGGTTGTTTTTAAGTTATTTAAAATTAGGAAAGTTTTATTATAAATATTTAATATATATATATGCTTTTCAAAAAGTAAAACATTACATAATTTAAGTCAATAAAGTAAAAAAAAATTTTTTTGTTTTTATTTTTAAAATTATATAAGTTAAAATTTGCAAATAAACTTTAAATCTTAACACTAGCTGCAATATTAATTTATTCTTTTTATTGAATTTTTTGTAAATCTATTTTTTTTTAGTAATTGTCTAATGATTCTTCTTTTAGTTTTTTATTTATTTATTTATTTTCAATTTCTCATTACTTTTTTTTGTTTATTTTGTTTGTCTATTTGCCTATTAATATAAAATAATAAATAAATATATAAAAAAAACTTTATTTTAATCATTGCAAAATTGGTTTTCATAAGCAGTATACAACTTTAAACTGAGACAAAATATTCACTGTAAAGAATATTATATATACTTTACTATATTAAGTTGAGTTTGATAATTCTGAGATTCAAAATTTTTCACTATAATTCTTTATTATAATAAGAATATCAGAGAAAAAAAACTTAAAATTTTTTGTTTAATAACTATCAAATTTAAACCAATCATATTTGAAAGTCTAATCTAATTTGTCTAAACCCTAAGGTTCAGAATAATTATCCTAAACTATAGATCTAGAATAAGAATGCTTATTCACAAATATTGACTAATTAAACCAGATTTCTATTATTCTGCTCTTTAGCTTAAGGATAGAATACATGTAGATCATTTTTTATATGATCTGCATAACAAATTTTTATTTTTACAAAAAATTGAAAGATGTTATTAATAAAACTTTTTAAGTTTATATTTAAATTTTATCAAATTTTTATAGTATAAAGTTAAACATACTTTATTTAATATATAAATTTTATTTGATAAATTATTTTAAAAAAAAATATACTTGTATATATTATAAAGTTCTCTGAGGTAAACAAAATAATCAATTTTGATTGGCTAATTTTTGTAAAATACAATATAAAATTTTATTTAAATTTTAGAACTAAATATTTAAATATTCATATCTCAATGAATATTTAACTAATTTTAATGATTTTATTATTATTAGAATCACAAAAACCTGTTGTACAACTTTGCTTAAAAGCTAAAAAATAATTTATTTAATAAAATATTAAGTAAAATAAAATATTAAAAAAATTGTACATTTAATTTATATATAATTTGCAAAAATTGTACTCTACCCTTAAAGGCCCTCCAACTTAATTATTTCTAATAACATCAAAAATAACTGAAGTACATTAAAGTTAGGTTGTAACTATAATTGTAAACAATACTTGCAATAATTCAACCTTTTATAAATTTATAGTTTGTCTATTTAACAAGCAACTATATACATATTTAAATTAGTTACTCAAATTCTAATAATATTTCAAAAGTCGAATTTTCATTTATATAAAACCTGTTATGAACATCCCTTTCTGATTCGTTTAAGCAATTACTATACATATAACTGCCAATTAAAATTACTTCAACAAAATTATTTATTTGATGAACCATAAATACGCCAATTCCAGCGAAACAATTAATCTGATTTTGAATTCTAAACCTAATCTGACGTATGTAAAAAATTAGAATATAATAGGCAATAAATTTCAACACTGACCTAACCTTAGTCTCCCCTCTCTCGCTTATGTCTTTTCTTTGATCTCCTTTTCCCATTGTAATCATCAGTACCATTTCTCAGTTTCCTGTCATTTGGAATATAATAATCAGAAATAAATTCATCGGACATTTCCATATCTGAACTTTCTTCAATATATACTGGTGATCTTTCACGCTTTTTTGGAGATGGCGGAATATGATGCTTATCATTTTTATTTCTTATCCGTGCAAATTTAAAATTTCTTAAACGATCAGCTTCTGCAATTTCAAACCTGAACGTTTCTATGATAATGTCGACATCATGATGCCGTAGGAATCGGGAAGGGTCCGTTCCGTACTGGGACAATACACTGCCAAGGACTCCGTTTTTATAATCCTTGTAAAGTTGATCCCGACGCTTTCGGATATCAGAATTAATGAAGGAAATAGAAGATAATATCGACTGACTTTGCAGATCCCTAAATGTGCCATCTTCATCGCGGGGTGTACAACGTTCCAAGTAGCCGACCCGGGTAACCAAGCGTTCAAATGCGTGCTGGAATTCATCTTGAATCATGCGCATATTTTTCGTTGAACGTGCTATATCATTAGTGGAGTCCGATGGATCTTGTATACAAATGTTCGTAATTGGATCTTTCGTTGTCCAGTTTTCATATTTTTTCCGATAATATCCTACATTTAAACCAGATTTTTTATCTTTTGCAACACGTATAGCAAGATCTTCATAATTATAATGAATGCCATAAAGTTCGAAAAATTCAATAAGCAATACACCGAGGTTTTCATCTTCAGGGACAACTACGCCTTTTTGAATTTCAGGGTGTAACTATAAAAACGTGGAAATTGTATTAAACAATTTGTCACATAAATTTATTGTTAAAAACGCAGTATTTACCTGTAAGAAACTAAGTACCATGCAAAAGACGGTATATCCACCCATACCTCCGCATGCAGGATCATCAAGTTCATGATGATGTAAAAAATATTTTAAGGTAACCACCAATTTACCAAGGGATGGCCATTCTTTCATGAAAAGTTTCATCGCAGCGGCGGAACCAAATCCAGAGGCTTGATTAAAAGATATATCAACATTAAACTTCGTGTGCTTCTCTTTAAATTTAATAATTGGAACCTAATAAAATATAAACGTGAAAACTATAATTATCTTGATCTTTTTTTTTATAAACGTGAAAACTATAATTATCTTGATCTTTTTTTTTATAAACGTGAAAACTATAATCTTCATATTTTTTTTAACTCACCACTGCATTCGCAATTGCAATAGGTCTGCCTTCGCAAATATTATTTCTAGCTAATATTGATACAATATCTCTCAATGGGTTCCTTTGATGTATAAAACATACTAGGTCAATATCGCTTGTTGGAAGATAAAGATCCGTATTATAACTTCCAAACGCTAATACTTCTGCAGTTGGGTAAACCGCTTTGATGGCCATCTCAATACGTTTTATTACATAAGCACGTAATAAACGCTCTAAATCTGTTGGCAAAAGATAATCGACAAATTCCAGAATTTCATAATGCAATCGTTGAACCACACTTGTATATTTAACGGTACATTCGTCACTTAGCCAGGGAGTCTCTTGACTATTTGGACGCTTCCATTTATCAAATTCTGAACTTCTCCGTCTCTTTCTTGCATTATTATCAGCTGCTTTTTTATCTTCAAACACCCTAATCTCTTCAGTTGTTAACGGATTTAAAGGAATAAACGGATCGTTATTAACAAATGCGCTGTTTGCACTAGTTTTTTGGACAATCTCTTTGCCTCCTAAAACTGCCTTATTAACACGAGCTTGGATGGGGACCGGTGGTAAACGAAAAGACACCGGAAGTTGCTGTGAAAAAGGTTGATATGATTGATGGGAATTGCCTTGAGATGGACATCGTCCATTTATCTTTTCCATTATTTTTTGGAGTGCGACGTATAAATTTGCTAAGCCTACAATAGATTAAAATAACCGAAAATATTAACGTTAACACAAAGTCAAAAAACTGTGTATAACGTGTAAAAGGAAAAAAAAAAGTAAATGTTGGTTGCGTAAGGGGACCACCGGGATTGAACCAGTGACCTATCGATCTGCAGTCGATTGCTCTACCACTGAGCTAGGTCCCCAACCTTATCCATCAGGTCATTTTTAAATAAAATTTTTTTATGATTTTAATAATTTTGCGCAGGTGCGTTGTAACCTCCTATGTATGGACGCCCCCGGGGGCATCCGTAACATTTAAAATCTTGAGAGGTAGTTACCCTCGGCACACTACCACGGCAATACGGCACATTTGCCGTGTAAAAGTGCTATATGCCAAAATTCCGGGTCGGAATACATCGGAATCATGATCGGCAGGGCCGGAATTAACTAATTTTGCCCAAGATCACTAA